TTTAAATTTTTTTTACTTTTATTTTCTCTTTTTCTGCCTTCTCTGGACTCTCAGTCATACCTAAAGTTCTTGCCTCTTTTCTCGTTTTCCTAGGGTGACCCACAGCAGCAGTCTTCGTGCCTTAAAATCCTTTAATTAATTTACAATTTACCCCCATGATCTTCCATATTAAAAAAAAATAGTATTCACCTTGTTTTACTGGTTGTTGTTGTTATGTGCCATCGAGTCGTTTGCGACACGTAGCAACCTTATGTACAAGAGCCCTAAACGCCATTCTATCCTGTGCCAACCTCACTGTCTCAAACACATTCATTCCCACCACTCCACTCACAGAATTAATCCATCTCATCGAGGGTCTTCCTCTCCTGCGCCATCCTTCCACTCTCCCAAACATGATGTCCCTCTCCAAGGACCAGTCCCTCCTTGCAACATGCCCAAAGTATGTCAGACGAAGCTTCAGAATCCACAAATACACCTGAAATTAAATCTAGGAACTTCCCATTGGGTCACCTTTCAATAGAAAACTTGCTGGTTCTTTATTTCTCCTTAATCCTGAATTACAACTTGGTTACATGTTATCACTGTAAGACTTCTTTATAATATTTTGTGTTACAAATAATAGAAAGAATACAAAGGGGGAAAATATCCCTAAGCATCTCTTCAGGAAAGATTCTTCTTTGAGTGAACAATTTTATGGTACTGTTGAAATGTCATAAGTTTTTTCATAAACATAATAATTTTAATAGACAAAACATTTCTATAATATTTGTGCAATGAATCATTTCAAGTATTTGTTTTGTTCCTTTTCTAGCACAGAAGCTATTACATACAAAATTCATAAAAATGCACTAAATAAGGTTTGACCAACCTTGTAGATAGTAAACATAGAAGCAGAAATAGATTCCCATGTCAGAAGGACTTTGTACTTAGCTTAATGCTGTGCTGTAATCTTCTTGATATTTTTGATACAATTTTTTACTTCAAGTAAAGCTCCTAGATGTTTATTTTGTACTAGGGCCTGGACCAGGTTTACATTATTGTTGCTATGATTAAATACTCTTGATTTGGCTCCAACTCATAGAAACTCTGTATAGTACAGGACAAAAAATTCAAATGACGAAGCATCGTCTTTAAAATCGCTGATGTGAAAGAGCCCTTTATTGCAACCAATATGCCCACCCATCTTGCTGAAGGTGTGACTCTTCTCACACCATTCCTATCTTTAAGAACTGGATCGTATTCTTAACTTACCCAAAACGGTTCGAATCCACCAGATGCTCTGCCGGGGAAGGAAGGACAATCTCCTCCTGTACCAGTCAGATCTGATTTGACGGTACACTCACACAAAAATAATAAAATTAAAAAAAAATTAAAAAAAAAAAACTTACCCAAAGTATATGAATATATGGATGAATTTTCACCATCCTGGCTTCGAATAAAGCATTCTAGATCACTACTTCCAAGACAGTTTTATTTGCTCTTTTGACAGCCCATCGTGTATTAAATATTCTTTACTGACATCATAATTCAGTTGGACAAATTCTTATTATTCAGTTTTTATTAATAATTGTCCAACTTTCATTCACATGTGACTTTGGACAGATACACCATAAAATTGAAATAGTGAGAATATGAAAAATAATCATAAGTAAGTCAGTTTGCTTACAAATGAAAATGTAGTAGCATTGGAAGTCCTATCAAGCTAGAAGTCAATTAAAATAACTTTTCAGAATGCTGATAGTAAATAAATATTGTAGTAGAATTTTATATCTTGCTAACATACCATTTAATAGTAAGTCTGAAATGAAGACATTTCAAGATAAATGAGGTCTAACATTATTTCCTGTTCAAAGAACTCCATGGAAAGAAATTTAAAAAGTTATGTTTCAGTAAGAAATAAATCTATAACAAGCATACTAAGTATAAGAGAAATGAAGATTATGGACAAATGTATTCATGAATCCTAATAATTATGGATGGTAAAGTATAATAAAAAATAATTTCAATAGGTGTACTGAAATAGTAAAAGATAATACATAGATAGAGCCTCTACCCAGGATAATCTGGTAACATTCCCTACTTTTAGCAACCAAAAGGATCTTAAGACAGTGCCAACAATCTCCTCTGGGAAAATTGCTACTAGCTAGGCAATACAAAGCTACACAAATAACTATTACATGAAATAGGGAATTTTGATTATTTAGTCCGCGGGGAATTTGCCACTGACCCAAAGGTTCTGCCTCTCTGGTGGTTCAAATCCACCATCGACTCCACGCAAGAAAAAATGGCTAATATCTTCCAGTTCAATTTATAGCCTCTTGAAAACTCACTGGGCAGTCAACTCTAAGTCAGTTAAAACTTGACGGCATGAGAGATGATTAGATAGAATACATTATTTAACTTTTAAATTGAAAAATAAGAAGCATAAGTGCTGAACAAGTACATAAATAAATTCCCAAGTTTATCGTGAAGCAACTATGGAATTTGTAAAATTCTGCATAACAATGAAAGAAATTGTTCCATTTTAGATCTCATGTTGTTGTTGTTATGTGCCGTCGAGTCGCTTGCAACTCACATAAAGGATGAAAATCACATAAACCCATAAAATGATATTTTTTCAATTTGTTGCTAGAAACACCTTTTTTGACAGCAAAGTGCATCTGTCAATCAAGATAGCAGCCAACTATCAATAACCTCGGATGGGTTTGTGGAAACCTTGTATACGGCTCAAACACCAAATGCACTTCAGGAGATAATTCAAGTCAGTCTTTACAGAGAAGTCAAGAGATGGCAAGTGTTGGCACAGGTAATGTTGGAAGAGGATAATGGCATCATGAAAAATACCACAAATCAAGATTCATGAGCCTTTGGCAATAAGCAATTATTGGCAGAAACAAACAAGGAAGTCTTGTGGTTTATGTTCACTCGATGATGGGTGTTCCTAGTGCAGATTTCTAGGCTTAAAGATTGGAGTATGAAACTAGAAAAATGTGCCCGAGACCAAATGTTATCCAACATTAAGCTAATAGCACAGGTGATTAGAAATTACTGCTGCTAGGTATACTGCAGCCACAGACAGTAAAGATAGCTTTACAGCATTGCTGTTATGTAGTTTAATGTATGAAATTCTAGACAGCTTCCTACAAGTTAGATGAGTCTTGAACAAACATGGACAGCCAGGAGAATTCATAGCTCCGTCTTGGAGAGGGTGAAACTTTCTCCTTGTAGGCAAGGATTTTGACACTCAGTCTCACATACTTTGGGCATGTGGCCAGGAGGGACCACTCTTTGGAGAAGGACATTATACTTGGAAGGGTGGAGGGACAGCACAGGAGAGGGAGACCCGTGATGAGATGGATTGACGTGATAACTGTGGCCATGAGATCAGGTGTCATAATTAGTGAGACTGGCTCAGGATAGGGCAAGATTCAGAGCTGTCATACATAGGGCCTCTATGAGTCTCAGGCAACTCAATAGGAACATCTTTCTTTCTCAGTGCCAGCAGGTCAGAACCAACTCATAACTGAGTTTTCAGGTGACTCTAATGTGCACATGGGGAGATTTCCCATCCTCCCTCAGAGCTGCTGGTGGAATTGAATTGCCAGAGAGATGCCTCTTTTGAATCTACCACCATAATTCTCTATGGACTATGCTTCCAGAAAAACATAGGGGAATAAAAATCACAGTGCTCATTCTCACTCACATGTGCTCTCTCTCACTCACTTTCTCTCTCACGCTTGTGCGCACACGCGCTCTCTCTCTCTGTATTCTTGCAATCTAGTTAGATATTATCAATATTTATATGGCAATTTTGTAGAGTAATAAATTGATGAAATGATGTTATAAAATACATTAACTGTTATATTTTTTTATTTCTTAACTCTAAACCTTTTTCCTTTAAATGCAATCATGTAATTGTAAAGGAAGTAATTTTTAAGAATCTTGCATTCTAAATTATTTGCTTGGGTAAAAGTAAATGTCGAAAATTCAGCCTCCAGCCATAAATGTTTTTAAGTTTAAAAAATGGTTTATTCTCATTATAAGCAATTCAGACAATAAAGACACATACAATTAGAATTCTCTCTTCCTCTTCAATTCTACTCCTCAAACTACCTATATAACTCACTGACTTCAAGATCGAGTGAACTCAAACTGAACCTCTAATGGCTTTCTGAGGCTGTAAATCTCACAGGAGAGGTTTGCCAACCTTTTCCCCATAGAGCTGCTGGTGAGTTTTAATTGCCAGAGAAGTAGAAGTTTTGGGTTTATAGCCCAACTTCTTGCAGACTTTGCCACTAGGAGGATTCTTATAGTGCCATTGTAAACTAGAAACCGTTTCTCGATTCATTAATAATCTTTAGAAATTGTCAATGATTTCATCTTGTTTGGATTCACAGTCAACACCTTTGGCACCAGCAGCCAGGAGATAAAAATTAGTAGTGCCTTGTAACTGTCTGCTCTCAGGGAACTCTCCAAAGTGCTGGAGAGCAATGGTGTCAATTTGAAGACTAAAGTCCAACTGATCCAAGCCATGATCTTTTCAAATACTTGCTACGCAGCTCAAAGTTGGACAATGAATAAGGTTAACAGAAGAGTCTGTACCATTGAGTTGTAGTGTTGGAAAAGAGTGCTGGATATCCCAAGGACTCTCAGAAGGACGAACAAATACGTCTTGGAAAAAGTGCAGCCAGGGTGCTCCCTCCTGAGAGGCAAGAGTAGTGAAACTCTCATGTAATTTGGGCATGTTTTTAGGAGGGGCTGGTCTTTGGGAAAGAGCATATTCTTGGAAAGGTGGAGGGCAGAGAAGGAGACCTTCAAGAAGATAGATTGAGCAGGGTTGGGACTGAGACCTCGATAGATCAGTCCGTTGATAAACCTTCCTGGAAATCGTGGTAACAGCCAACCTCTTAAGACCTAGAGGTCTTGAGCTCTGCTTACCGTCTTTTCTCTGAGAAGAGATCCAGATCATATTGAACACACAGCAACCTCCCATCTTCAAGATGCCTTCTCCTAAGACTTTCAGGACCAAGAATGTCCTGGCCAACAAGCAAAAAAATTGTCCCATTCCCCCGTGGATTCTAATGAAAACTAGCAACAAAATCAGAACTAACTCCAAGAGGAGACACTGGAGAAGAACCAAGCTGGGTCTATAAGGATTTGCATAAATGATGGTACACTTGTTTAGCAGAGTCCACTAGATTTCTACTGTATGAAGTTAAAAAATTTACCATGATCTGATAAATGTAACCTGTAATGGCAAGTATGTCACTTGTTTATTGTGAAGAAAAAATTACTCTATTTGTTTAAGCATGCAATAAAATATTTCAGTGATGAAAAAAACCCACATGGACTGAACAGTGACCAGTAAGAGTCTCTCTTTTCTGACGGAATTCTGCATATTTTTCTCCTGTTCTATCCACGGTCTTTTATGAATCTGTATTGCTATATGTTTCCCTTTACGTTATGTCTAACATGTGCTATGAAAGTGAAAGTTGTTCTCTTCCTTCCTTGAGCTGACTCTGCCAGAGTTATCAATGTGAAGGAATGAAGTTAAAAGGTAATAATTCAATATTGGCTTTACTGTTGAGAAAGTATGTTTCTCCTTTAAGGATAAATGTATATGTATATGAAAGCAGAGGATAAAGCTCTGATTAAATATGACCATGACTCCTTTTCTTCCAAGGAATGAGATAAGTATACCATTCTTCAATATTTAAGATGCCTTAAGATAACCATCTATCTATGCTATGAATTTATTTCCATAAAAAGCTCTTATTAGAGGCTTTTCTGCTTATATATACTTGTTTTATAAACTATAAGCAGTGGAATTTACTCATAAGTTATAGTTGTTATATGCAAAAATAAATCAGATCCTAAGGAATTATTTATTATACTTCTGGGGACAATTTAGAGATGATACACTGACAAAACTTGTAGAAATTCATGCATCATGTCTTCAATGAGTTATATTACCAGTGAAATATTTTCTATTATGATTCATTGTAATATACTAGCTAGAATTCTATTCATATGCCATTTACAGAATAGATGATATTTTCACGGGGGGGGGGGGGGAGGTAGAACAGGAACAAGGAAGAAAGCAGGGAACAAACCAAAACCAATACAGATAAGATTTATGGAGATAATTCTCCTTATATTTCCCCCTTTATTCAATATTTAAGCAACCCAGAGCAACATCTATCAAAATATGTATTCATACAGGAAAGAAAATAGTCAAGCTCATCACTATGTAATCAAGTCCAAGACTTAGAGAACTTGCAGGACAGAGCCGACCTGCACGATGGTTCTTGGGGATGTATTCCCCCAACCCCCGGCTGTAAGTCTTGGGATTTACAGGAACAGGTCACACCATCTTTCTCCTTAGAAGGGGTGGGTAGATTTGAACAATGTTGTTCATAGGGTCGAGTCTTAGTCACTTTGCAAGACCATAAGAACAAGAATATGAATACAGAGTTAGGAACATCCTCTGTCAAACGTATAGTATATTTGTGGGTATGGTATTCTTTAATATTCTTGCCTCTCTTCAACTTGTGTATCTGCATGTAGATAATTGTTGCTCCTGTCATTGCAATAGCATTTCATAGCTATTTTAATAGGCTACTTACCTAACAGACTTGCTAAAGAGTACTATTTTTAATTGCATTTGTGTTTTTAAATGAACAGTTGTTGTCCAGCTGATGTCAGTTCACACTTACTATAAAGGTCAGAGTAGTGTTAGGTGCTGTAGAGTCAAGTATGACTCATAGGGACCCTGTGAACAGCTGATCTGCACTTTATCTTATCCTGTGCCATTCTCATCACACACGAGAGGCCATTGATGAAGTCATCGTGTCAATCCAACTCAGTGAAGGTCTTCCTCTCCTTTGCTCTCTCTTCCCAAGCATGATGTCTCTTTCCGTGAAATAGCCTAGTCTAGCTATGTGTCCAAACAGTGGATGTTGCCATCTTGGAATTTCCAAGGCTGTGGTCTTTAAGCAAACAAGTTGCCACTTCTTTCTCATGATGAGAAGCTGGTTGGTTCACATCCTGATCTTTTTGGTTAGTCTCTAATTTCTTAGCTACTGTATTGCCAAGTCTTATGATAATGCACTGGATATTTTCCAAACTATTTTCCAAAAATTATTTTATGAATTTACACTATTTTCCCCAGCTTAGAAAAGCCTCTCTCTTGCATATCTTTACCAGTATTAAGATTTCTAAGAATTTACATGTTGCAAGGAGGGACTGATCCTTGGAGAGGGACATCATGTTTGGGAGAGTGGAGGTGCAGTGCAGGAGAGGAAGACCCTTGATGAGATGGATCGACTCTGTGAGTGGAGTGACGGGAATGAGTGTGTCTGAGACGGCGAGGTTGGCACAGGATAGACCGGCATTTAGGGCTCTTGTACACAGGGTCGCTGTGAGACACAAGTGACTCAATGGCACATAACAACACAGTAAACAAGAATTTGTGATGAATGCATCTCTTAACCTAATTTTACATGTTTTATTTACTTCTAATATCTTTTTCTTCATGGTTTTAGTACTGTGCATTAATGTTAAGCATGTCTGTCTTTCTTGTTCAGACTTCTTTTTAAATTTAAGCATTTACATGCACAGTTTTTCCTAGGCACATTGGTTTAGCTAATTACTGCTTGCCTTCATTTGCAGTATTTTCCTAATTGTTTCATTTCAAGCATTTCTCAACTTTAATTCTTGTTACAAATTTACCGTGAACTAAAATTAAAAATGTGCTCTAAAATTTCCACACTCTCAAAATTTTAAGTTGTGTTTTGTAATTTTCAACTTGGTTGCATTATGATTAAAAGAACGGCATGATCTGTGTAAAAGTGATTCCTTGTATCTATGAAGCTTTGCCTTACTTATGTTCTGGAAAGGATTTTCTTCCATCCCCAAGGCTTAAAAATGAGTTTCCTTGTCCCCCTTTGTTTCCAAGTGAGTATTTTCCAGGTCTTCCTTATTTTATAGATCCAAACCTTAAGAGTCTGAGTATTAGGAGGAGTCTAAATTCTGTTGCCCAGCTAGATAAAGGTAGTCTTTTCAATTTTTTTTCTTTTTATGAATTTTAATGAAAGTTTACAGAGACTTTGGATTTCCATTCATTCATTGTTGCACTTTTCTCCCTGCCCAGCCCCTTCTTCCCCCACCCCAGTTTACTCTTCTCTTTGAAAAGTAGAAGAAAAATTCTTTCATTGTTATGCAATCTCTCCCCCCAAGTCCACTCCACTGTGCAGCCTTCACTCTGGACTCCTGTCATGACAGTAACACCCAATCATATATCCCTTTTAAACACTTCTCTCCCTCATCTTTTTCAATGCAATAATTGCACCATGATTTTCATCCTATCAGAATAAAGGCCAAATGCATAAGAGGTCCAGATTTGAAGAGAGAAAATGACGGAGGGTCGGAAGAAGACTGCTCTTTGTTTTCCTGGAAAGCAGCTGGTGGATTTGATCAATGAGACTTTGGGTTGGTAGCTCAACCACTTACCACTAAACCATCAGACTCTTCTAGTGCCAAAGCACTGATGATTTTTACAAGTGCAAACTGAAATGGGAAATTCCTTTCACAGCTATCAGGTTGGCAAGAATTCTATGCTAATTTGCAGTCTGATGCTGAAACTGGGGAAAACAGTGCCATATACACAGCTCATGGTAGGCCTTATTCCCATATTGCTTTTTGTTCTATTTTCTTTTCATCTCCTTTCTTCCATTTCTCTCCACTCTATAATTACCACCTTTTTTTTCTTATTATATTTCACTTATTTTCCTTTCTCTGTATTATTCTACCTCCTCTCATAACTGATTCCATTCTCCATTTATCACAATGGTTGAAGAGAAATCTTATCCAAAGCCCACCTCAAAACACAGCCTTAAAAATATTTCTGTTTTCTCAGAGTAATAAATTTAGAAATAATGTGCCACAGACACACCTATTTTTTTAATGTTTTCATAAGATCACCTAATAAATGCCCTAACTTACAGGTTTTGCTTTTTTAGGTAACATTTAAGGGTGGCATATTGTTTTATATCAGACATACTAGAAAGTTAAATTCCTTCTGCTTCTCATCCTTAAAGCCAAGGTGAACATAAAGGTGACCAAAAGGTGTTCATTTTGCCTGTTTGTTTGTTTTTATGTATCTGAATATGGAAGGATGGCCAAGTGCAAACCATCAAGCAGCTTTAGAACCAGAAAGTGGGTCCCTCTGGGCTTGATTTAAATACATAAAAGCTGTCATTCTTTTCTATTTGCAGTCAAAGTACAAAAAGGCACATTCAAGAGGGAAAGGAAATGCTTTCAAAACTTGAAATATCTGTGAATAGTCCTTAGAGATAAATAATCCCAAATAATGGCTTTTTAACACATTTCTACTTCTGCCTTTAAATATTCTAAAGCATATTCCCAGTGCTACAAATACCTAGAGAAAGACAGGCACTGGGCACTTTCAGGAAAATAGTAACACTTTGATATTTCATTTAATGTTCTAAAAATTGTCTAATGGGTTCTCTCTTCATTATGTTTCGTTTTCAGAGACCGTTACAGGAGACAGATACATAAGTGGTTAGGCTGTCAGAAGATGTGGGGAGTGAACATCGACTCTCAATTGCTGAAATTCACATGTTATGAGAATAATCTATTATTTCCAACGTCTTAGCAATTAGTTGAATGAGCGGACACTCACCACCACAGATTTCTTTCTCAGGGATGTTTTTTAGCACATATTAGCACAGCCTTTCACGTTCCTCCGTTTGTCCAGAGCAATCTTACCCAATTTTTAAAAAGTCAATTCCCATTCAGAAGAATTCCTTTTAGTTTAGAAGGTGTAATTTCCTTTTCCAAGAATAGACCACCTCCTAAAATGTTTAAATGCCCTCTTACCCTTAGCTCTACGAGTGTCTATTCTGTTTAAGAGCAAAAAGGATTGGCAGATTCACATGTATTTTTTTTTTGAGGGAAGAAAAGATTCATTTACTCCTTTCTTTTTTTTTTTTACCATAAACATAGCAAAAGCCTTTATTTCTCTATAATGGCTCAGCATAAAATACATGTTACCGAAGTTACATTTAATGGAAAAAAGTTTTTTTTTTCAAATACAAAAGGTTTAAGTGTGTTCTGTTTTTATAAAATTAAT